TCCACGAACACAACATCCTCTGCCTTGGGTGGGGATTCAAGTGAATACCCCGCGATCGGAGTGAATATATCTTCACATTGTACAGAGAGCTTTGCTTTTACGCCCTCAACGAAAATGGATCTCGTCAATCAGTAAGAACTATCCTTTTAATACTATTCCTACCCTTGAGGCTGCCATTGAAACTTATTTCAACGGTTGGAGTTGTCAGTTTCGCACAGCTTGGTACAAAAAGCTCTAGCAATTCCTCCTGTTCAAAGAAAGTCACAATGAAAGTCCTCAAGATGTTATATATTGCAGATGAAGAGACTGAAGAGTATGAACCATTTACTAACGAAACCAAAAGTTTAGAAGGTAGATTGCTGTTCGCAGTACCGAAAAGTGAGTCATGACCACTCAAACCGAACCCATAATCGAGTCTAGCGGCTAATGAAACTCGTAGAGGGAAGATTATTACAAGCAGCACTTAATTTACTCGAAGGTGCCGATATTCAGTTTAGACGTGAATCAAGACTTGACATAGCATTGGTTAAGAATTTACCAATTGCGCTTGTCTTCCTCCCTGCTGCCGATATTCCTACGTTTGTTGGCGAAGGTCGAGTGGATCTCGGTATTACTGGACGAGATACTGTTGCGGAACATGCTACAGGAGTCGAAACCGAGAAGAGAGTGAGATCAGAATCAGGAACCACAACCCCTGTTGAGGATGGTAAGGACAAAGGATGTGTGGAGGTAATGGATTTGGCATTCGGTTCTTGCAAGTTACAAGTACAAGTACCGGAGAAGGGACCGTACACGAAGCCATCGGACCTCATTGGAAAAAATATTGGTACCAGTTTTGTCAGTCTATCTGAGGAATTCTTCCGAGCTTTGGAAGCTGAGGCAGATGGTGGTGCGGTTTCTGGACGCAAGTTGAAGACAAAAATTATTGAGCTTAGTGGCAGTGTCGAGGCTGCATGCGCTCTTGGAGTTGCTGATGGAATTGTGGATTTGGTTGGTGAGTAGAAACAAATGGTCAGCCCTGAAAGTTTCATGCTAACAAGTTATTAGAATCTGGCGAAACGATGAAAGCAGCAGGGATTAAAAGCCATTGATACAGTCGTCTCGAGTACAGCAATTCTAGTTAAATCCAAGAACCCATCAAACCCAGCATTAGTAGATCTCATTGCTTCTCGCATTCGAGGTGTCATCACTGCACAAAAATACGTCCTGTGCCAGTATAACGTTCAACGAACGGCCCTTGCAGATGCAGTTAAGATTACTCCTGGAAAGCGAGCACCCACAATAAACGCCTTGGAGGAGGAAGGTTGGGTAGCAGTTAGTGCAATGGTTGAAAAGAAGAAAATCGCTGTGGTTATGGATGATTTGACAGCCGTGGGAGCAACAGATATTTTGATTCTCGATATTGCAAATACGAGAACTGGATGAGGATGATGAGAGGTGATGATATCAAAATATAGTGTGACAAATCAATGAATTTGGAATACTGGGGCGAGATTTAGAGGACAAGGGAATACCCATTTGGATCGAATTGAGCCCGGAGGGGTGGTTTTGGATATCTCTGTCGTATCTTGACTCGAACCTTGTGGTGGGAAATGCACATGATATGGAATTTACGGAACTCTGGGATGGATAGATCAATGAGATATAACAATTGATAGATAATTCATGCATCAAGGTTCAAATCCCGTCATCAGCAACGACAAATGGATATCTTTTCTCCCCCCTTACAAATGCTCCATCTGAGTTACCAGTCCACACACCTTCGTATCGTCGTCGAACATGAGAATATCTGATTGATGGACCCTTCATTTTTATCTCCCTTCTGCCCCTTCAGCCTCGGACTCCCATCTACAAACAAACTGGCCTTATTCTCCGGCCAGTTTAGTAGTATCTCATCTTTGGTAACTATCCTAATCTCCTTCAAATGACGAAAGGACTCGAGGATAGTGTATGAGATAGCCAGGTGAGAATAAGCATCTTCCCAAATGATTAAATATCTTAATCGACGCAAGCCATATCGGTCTCCATCTCCCCTACCTGCTGATCCTAGCGTATTCCCCATTTTCTCAACCTAAACTGAATAATCAGGGACTGTTGATTTGGCTAGCGTCTATCTGATAAGATAAATTATCCCTTTCATGGGCTAAACTAGAGATAGGGGAGAGAAATGTAGTGGTAGTGGTGAAGGGGCAAAGAAACC